AAGTGGCAGTTAGGGTCCTGAAAGAGATAGCACTCCTCGTGGGCCATTGACTGACACCGTGCATCACCCAGGGCAACACACATTTAAGGGGCTCCAGGTGTCTAAAGAAACCTGACCTTGAACAGGCCTCCGCCACACCGGTCAAGTACTGTACCTCCTCTGTTGGTACTGTTTCACACAAGCAGCCGTAACAAGCCACAAAGCCACAGCGCTATCTTTGGAAACGTTCTTGCATTTCTGGCAAATAAAGATTTTACTAAAAATGCATTACTCATGGGGACAGTAAGCAAACCTTTTGTTTATGGCGGAACAAGTGAATACACAATTCACAGCCTTTTAGCCAACTGTTCACCTTGTCCTCTAACAGAGGAGATACTCTGTTATATTGATACGGATTAGCATATAGTGTCCAGTATTTACTGCCCGTATTGGTAGAGAGAAGAGCAAGCAAGTACTGCGTAGCTTTGATGCCTCTGATATTATACAACATATACAGCATATGGTTACAGTTGCACAGCATCATATTTAGTAATAATTTCTGGATTCTGTTCAAAACTGCATTAAGTTTTCTTTTCATCCTGTAACTTTAACTTTAAAACATGTCTTTACCCTTAGATGATTTATGTCTCGACACCATGAGAAATGCAAATGCATGAACACAAACACACACACACACATCCACCACATCTTACTTGAAACCTATTTTAGTCTTTTTCTACACTCCTGGGGGAAGTATCGGCCTCTCAAGGCACTAAATGTGCCACTTTGCTGAGGAAGTCTTATGAGGCGTGTTTAGAGCTTTTTTGCCAAAAAACAAAAAAATATTAGAAAAAAAACTGTGAACTGCTCCATCAGCTGAAAAGAAGATTAATACAGGCTGTGTGAGGGGGGGGGAAACAAAAAAACAGGGATAGCTATTACACCACCATATTCTGTGCCAATAAAATATTTGATATTACACAGTCGTCTTTTATTATGCTGGAGTGATCATAATAATCATAACACATCTTTAACCCTTAGAGAGAGACCATTTTTTTCTCATTTTGTCTAATTTTACTGCTCCAGTCATACAAACACTGCATGACTGTGGCTTTGACACAACTGCATCCAAGTTTAGTTACCTCCTTTACTTCCAAAGGCTTGTGCGTCATTGTTGGGTCAGTCTTTTGTGATGAACTTGATAAATCCAAATGTCACTGAACTTCAGTCCACATGTATGTAAGTCGGGCAGACACAGCCCAGGACAGCAGTTTTAGTAATTGAAGATTTCTTCCATAGTGCAGTTTCTTCAAGTCAGCACAGGTACGTAACCAGTAATAGATTCTCTGCTTTGATGCTCATTGGTCTCTAATCCACATACTGGCTTGGAGCTGTCCTGTTAACACAACTAGGGACAGACTGGCTTAAGAGGAGGAGGAGGTGGAGGTGGAGGAGGGTGGCACTGCTGCTTCCTGCAGGGCTGGAGTCCCTGCATTGTTGGTAATGAGGCCGTAATGAGCTGCCTGGCTATGGAAGGACTGGTCTACTTAAACTTTCATGGAGCAGGCAGCAAACACTCATTCAGCGCTTCACCTGAGTGTTGAACAGCTATGCTGTGTGTTTAAGGAAGATAGTGCATGCATGTAGATGCGTGTGTGCATGACTGTGTGTGCATGACTGTGTGTGCATGACTGTGTGTGCGTGTGCAGCTATGTAATACAAGGATGCAGTAACTTTATCCACCCAAAGACCCCTTCTCACCCTCCTCCCCACAAAATTACAGTGCAGGTATTCGATTACTGATCTTTGATTAGGCAGATGCATTTCAAACTAATTACTTGGTGCTCTGTAGAGAGCGGATGATCACACCAGTTTGGAAAAAAGTTTTTAAGTTACACTTAAAAATTCTAAACTGATTTCACGTGATTATGTAAAGCAACGGCACTGATTTAATAAAGTTCCAATTACTTTTTGTTAGCTGTTGAAAAAATAAGGAGCCGAGAGCTGCAAAACATATCTGTAGTTAAATCTTAAACAAATATTTTAATGTGTTTGACCACTTTTTGTTTATGATTAAATTGACATTCACCGCATGTGGCTAACACACCGCTCCACCCTAAACAAGCCGGCAGGAAGGAGGTGTATGTGTATTTAATTTAATTTAATTTGTGCAGCACCAGGCTGACTGGAGAGAGATGATGCTGGAACTTGCACCAGTGAACATCCCCAAACTTTCCGATACACTGAGCAGTTTTATCATAATAGATCACATCTGCTGCTTCGGCGTCTTCTTTCTCCTTTGGGTCAGCTGGCTCGGTTGTGACACGTGTAACGTTGCCCTCTCATTCATTCTCTTTAAAATTTAACATTGCTTCCTCCAACCATCAACAAAGGCATCTTGCATTACTACCTGAAGATCGGAAGAATCGCACGGTGACATAAGAGAGCATTCTGGTAAAATGTCCATTAACATAATGTAATCCATTATGCAACAACTGAGAGATTTCTTTGAAGAGGATTCCTTGTACACTGTGCCACAGAGGCCATGTCTTATGGAAAAATGACAACTCCTTTGCCATTTTATTCCTGAAGTGATTAATTTTGTCTCACACACAATTATGGTTGAAAATATTTCTTTCAAATACTTTTTTTTTTAGCATTAAATCAATAAAGAAGTGAGAATATGTGTTTGTTTTAAATTGGATGCCTGACATTTAAAGAGCAGTTTTACACCTTACAACAAGAAAACAGAGATTTTACACTATCTATCATATGTTGTACAAGCAGGAGCAGTTCTTGTTATTTAAAGTTGCTTACTGTTATTGCCAGTGTCATAGCTGAGTTATAAAGCAAGCCTTGTTGATAAGATTCATTGCATCTCTTCAGCAACTGAACCAAGGTGATAATTCAGAATGACTCAGATCTGGTTTCTAAAGATTTGAAGGATGAGTGACCTCAGGTATCCTCAAAACACTGTTTGTTCAAATAAATGCTCACACACTATTAAACATTCAGATAATTCCTTATTCGTGTAAACAGATTGCTGTGACCAGGGCAGGACTCTGAAGGCCAAAACCAGCTGTGAGGTTATCAGTTTTAGAAGAGTTGCCTTCAGTGACACAATAAGTGAGCAGCAGCAAACTGTTTAAGGTATTTAAACACGACTGACTCTGCTAAACTAAGCGCTCATAGATCTGAAATGTTTTGTCTTTTTCGTAGATTTCAAAGCTTACCTTTTGCTCCATGCTGCAGTTCGCTGTGCAAGTCAGAGAATCTCAGATGAGATTTTGTACTGCTCTGCGTGAGCCCGAGCACCCAGCTGACGAGGGGACAGTGTGGCACACTGTATATTCTACCTATACACTGTATTTACGGCCGTCCCATAATGCAGCAGCCTCAGCATGTCCTCACAGCGTCCTACTTTTCAACAGCTTTTATTTTCAGGTTGGCCTTATTAACTTACAAGGGTACTGAGAACTGAAGGAGTCAGCTACTCCCAACAGTCCGAACTATTCAAGAAGGTACTCTTTTACTTTTTAACCCAGCAGCTGTTCAAGTTTCACAACTAGTGTAATGTTTTCTATGTATGCATTTACATTTCAGCACTGTTATTTCAATCAAAGGTGATGAATAGTCTACTTAAACCTGTACTCAAAATGCAACCCTGAGCCCAGAGTCAGAGGAGCAGGGGGCCTGAGAAGTAGTCAAAGCTTCAAAAGCCCTTAGCAAGCCCCACAAGAAGATGAAGAAGAAGTCATAATTGGGTTTCTTCTCAGTGAGCTTCTGAAAATAAGCAGCATTATTTGACATGATGACAATGTGAGTGAACAGACAGCAGCATCCTTTCTATAGCATGACTGGCTTTTGGGTAGAGGGTGGACAGCACAACCTACTGTCGGCCACAGGTTATGACAGATACTCAGCTGCTAATGACTGAAGCGCAGTGCTGGTATAAATAAAGTTACTGTTGTAGGCTATATGATGTCACCTTCCTCTTGCTGAATCAAAGAAAGTCTTTGCCTGGCTTTTAGCTCCTATTCTTTCATAATAATAATAATAATATTAATACTTAAATACCACAAATTTAAATTTTGATGACCACATTAAAATCTATAAGTAGGCTATATGAGCTTTATTTTTCAAGTTTATGTGTTTGATTGATTGTAGTGCACTGTAATTATTTGCAGTAACAGGAAAAAGCCTGGCTCGGTGGTTTTATTTTTCTTTATATTATTACTTATAAGAAAATTTGCCGTTTGAACGAACTCCTGAGAACCGAGCTCTTGTCTGGGATGCACTTTTTAATTTCTCTGGTATAAATCTGAGATTAGCTGGATCTAATCCAAGCAGGAAATCGTTGCTTTGTCTTAAGTGTTTCCCAAAATGTGTTTATTTTACCTCACAATACAATAACATCAGCATTTCTTTCAACATTACAAATTGTATTGCATATAATCACTTGTTATTTATTTAAAGAAAACCTATCATTAATATATAATGTCATAAAGAACTAAGTGCTCTTTTTGCTATCTGTCCATAAACGGTCTGTACCACCGAGTGAGATTAGCATCAAACTAACCTGCTCTCAGGTTAACCAGCTCAGTTTAGACCAATCAGGAAACTTGGAGTCAAGCTCCTAGGGGATCAGTTTACACTAGAGTAAAAAACAAATAAAACAAAACAAATAGAAACTTTAAAAAAAACAAACAAACAACCACATAATGATGATATAGCATCAACTTGAAATGCAAAAAGATACTTTCATTTCCTAGATATGTTCTGGTCGATACCTTTTCTTTTTTTTTTTTAAATAAATTCTGCTTAGAACAACAAATAAGACTTCGTGGTGACATTAAAGTCTTGGAATATTTCTTCCGGTTCCTTTGACAATCTATTTAAAGATATTGATCAATTATGTGATAGTACTTCATTTTAATCCAATGGGGTCGCTTCTTTGACCCGAAGCCAGTTTGACAACACGGCACTTCTGCTTCCTGCTCTAACCCCTCCCCTCTCCGCCCTGCGGGTGTTGTTCTCTGATTGGGTGTCTCCTTGAAAACTTGAAGTGACTGCTCCAGCAGGTTTGTCCGCAAATCACCTGTGCGCTATGAGCTGGAACTCACAGCTCTCCGTGACGACAAAATGGACAACTGGCCCAAAACAGCTAAGATCTCTTACAAGCGCTGGAGAAACTCTGAACAGTGGTAAAGAGAAAAACACGAAAAATATGAGCTTTCTTGCTTTTGTAACCTCATCAAAGTTGTCTTGGCTGTTTCAAGGAAGGACCTGCTATGTTTACATACCGGAGTGTGAGCCACAGGGCTAAGTGCAAATGTATTTAACGACAAACTTTGGTATGTCTGAAAGACAAACTTTTTTTTCATGTCTTCTTCTTGTGTGATGGCACTTAGGGGTGATGCAGATTTTGTGGGTCAAACTGATGAGGACCAGGGCACAGACGCTGAGATTTGCACCATAGCTTCAAATTTTGACGCAGAGGCTACGCAGTCTTCATCCGCCTCTGGGTCTAATAAACCCGAAGGTGTGTACAATATAATTGTTATTTTGTTTTAATTGTTGTGTGTGGATATGGGTTAATTACACATGAAAGTAGACTCATCTTATATTGGCCATGTCCTGTTTATAACTGGCCTAAAACATAAAAACAGAAGAACTGCTTTGTTTTAATCTGTTATGCATCAAATTTGATTTCTTTATTATATATTTTCACAAGGCAATGAAGTGTTAACGGTGCTGAAAAAACCTTGTGAATTTAGCACACTGTCCAAGATGTAAAATGACCTTTGAGTGTGTTATACTGAATAACATGCTAATGCCAGGTTTTGTTTCTGAGACTGATCATGCAGTGACCGATGTGTTTTATTAACAGAAACCTTTACAGTGGATGATGCATTGGAGGCAATCGGATTTGGAAAGTTTCAGTGGAAAATCTCTTTCCTCACTGGACTGTCATGGGTAATAAATCTTAAAATAAGTCCAAACAGCTTCATCAACGTGCAGATACTGCACATCTCTAACTGGATGCTGTCCCTCAGGTAGCAGATGCCATGGAGATGATGATCCTCAGCATCTTGGGGCCCCAGCTGCACTGTGAGTGGAGGCTCCCCAGCTATAAAGTGGCACTCATAACATCGGTAAAGTCTGTTTACCTTTTATTGCTTCACTAGAGATTTTTGATTATATAACATAGTCAATGACCTATTTATTTATTTATTTATTTTTGTTGGAACAGGTGGTTTTTATCGGGATGGGGATCAGTTCACCGATTTGGGGAAATGTCGCCGACAAGTACGGCAGAAAAGTAGTGAGTCTCACATCTATGATTCTCATACATGATTTCATGAGGTTTGTAAATGATCTCATGTATTTCCTGTATATGTGTCTGTGCTAAACAGGGTCTGAAAGTTTGTATGTGCTGGACTTTGTACTACGGCCTGCTGAGTGCCTTTGCTCCAGCGTATGGCTGGCTCTTGTTCCTGCGCAGCCTTGTGGGCTTTGGTATTGGAGGAGCTCCTCAGTCGTAAGTTTGATTCTTCCTTCATGCATAACAAGATACATCAGTAGTTCCTCAATGAGCAATATCCAAGAAAACAATATGAACATAAATAAAGATTTAATCTTGTTTTAGGGTCACGCTGTACTCAGAATTCCTTCCCATGAAGGCGAGAGGCATCTGCATTATGCTGATTGCGGTACTGCGGTCATTGTCTTATAAACTCTCTTTTGACAATATTAGCTGCACTGCACTATATCATCCTAACTGTTTGTCTGCATCAGGCATTCTGGGCAATCGGTGCTGTGTTTGAGGTCCTCCTGGCCTTGATGGTAATGCCTGATCTGGGTTGGAGGTGGCTGCTCGGCTTATCCACAGTACCATTGGCAATCTTTGTTTGCTTCTGCTTTGTAAGTATGGCTGCGATGGGTAGAGGTCCGCCAAAATAGAAAAAAAGTTGAAAGTAACTCAGCTCAGTTTTCTGTGTTGCAAAGTGGTTGCCGGAGAGTCCTCGTTTTGATGTGCTGTCGGGAAGACGAGAAAAAGCCATGGCAACCTTAACGCGCATTGCTAAAGAGAATGGGAAGACCCTGCCTCAAGGCAGGCTGATCGCTTATAATCAGGTGGGGATGAGATTTAATTTTTTCTGGATATGAATCTAAATATATACACTGCTTAAATGTTCAAAATAAAATGTCTACTTTCTATTTTTGTCTTTAATTACTCAGAATGAACGTGGACGGTTCAAAGATCTCTTTGCTCCTCAGTACTGGAAGACCACGCTGCTCCTGTGGTTTATATGGTTAGCTTAAGTGACACACTCTCTAAGATAAGCCTTCTCTATTTAAAGGGAGTCATTTTTAAATCAGTGGTTACCAGCTCGGCATCGTGGCCTTATTTTATCAAGTTTTCGATTTTTGTTGTTGTTGTGGCAGTTATAGCTTTACCATTACCACAGTGACTTGTATACAGGTAACCAGGAACGATACTTAAAATCCTGTGATGGACTGTGATGTGATTCCTAATGCAAGGGGGAGTAACAGTAGTACCTGATTGACATATTAAATGCTTTATTTTCAACTTCTCACAGAACTAATGTTCAAAAAAAAATGATCTTTTTACTTTTGTCAATAGGTTTTCCAATGCCTTCTCCTATTACGGGATTATCCTGCTGACAACTGAGCTGTTCCAAGCTGGAGATTTGTGCGCGAGTATGTTTACAGCTTCCTTTGTGCAGAGCTGCTTTTAATGTTTTCAATTGTTGAATTACAACAAATCCCAAATGCTTCCTTATAGTGACCCAAGGAGCCAAGATTGAGCCAGACTGCAGTCTTGAATGTAGATATTTAACGTCAGCCGACTACAAAGACCTTTTATGGACGACCTTGGCTGAGTTCCCAGGTAAAATACTCGCTGCTTGCAGTCTGTCAGAGGCGTGGTGTGCAGTTAAGTTGAAAGTCTGACAGCTGACATAGAGAAAATGTCCAATTTGTTTTTGGTAATTTCCCATCAACTTAATAGTAGTTATACTGTGAAAAAGTGGCAAACAAACAGTGAATTTGAAAACTATTACTGGTTTTCAAAATGTCCCTGTAATACTCTTTTCTTTTAAACTTTGATAAAGAAATGTATGTTTTTTAATCCGTGTTTAATTGTGGGCGTGCACCTTTCCTTTTGTTCATGTCCAGATCAACATGCAGTGTATTGATTAGTGGCTCTGAGCTGCAAGAGCTTAACAGTTAATCAGCTGGAAGCATGAGCATTTATTACAGAAGTGATTTTAGACTTCAGGTACAAATAAAAAAAATTTAAAAAAGACAGCTGAAATTTAGGAGCAGCTGAATTGTGTGGCTTCATAAATAATTATAGTTAGAAATGAGACACAACACGACACCCTCAAGAGTGATGGGGATGGGCATGCATACGCGCTTCACTATATTTACTGGGCATAACATCAGTTTAGGCAGGTTGTGAAGTCTAGTTCGGCCACACAAAATAATAATTTTGTCTTTTTGAAAAAGACTGTTGCACTGTTATGTTCATTGTGAGGACTTAGACAGAGACAGCGATTATTCTCGCTTCCAGACACCACATGGGAGTGGTTCATCCTTATTCTACTTTTTCTAAATCCACAAGAGTATGTATTAAAGATAGATGAACCTACTATGACATCACTCATTTCTTAGGGAAGTCCCATTGTGAAGCTTCAAGATGGGCATTTTCTCTGTCCCCGTATTGGTGTTTTGAAACTGAATGTGAAGAGAGGAGTGAGAAACTGAGGAACACTGAACACTGGGCAATCTTTTCAAACGGCTGCAACATCTCCCTCTGTATAATCTGTGAATCTCTGAGATCCTGGACTGATATATCATAAAAATGGCGGTAAAAGCCGTCTCGACCGTACCCTGTAGTCTTCAACGGCAACGTCGCTGTTAGGCACCGCCCACATAAAAAAAGTATCCTGTATGATTAAAAGACGTGAAGCTAGCGTTTGAGCCCACAAAGTCATCAGGAAAGTGTTGACTGTGGATACAGTAAGAGTCCCTTGCCCTGATTCCCTCTAGATTTCCATGCAACTATAAGTCTGTTTGCAACTACAGGAGGCATCCCCTGCTGGCCGTTATACAGAATGCATGCTTAAACAATTCAATATCACTTTTCAGACCTCAAAGACAATCTTCAATACGCAGTCTACATACTGATAAAGCCTACTAAAGACAATGCTTTGACGTTTTTCAGTGACTTGAAGGTGGGCAGAGTATAGCATACAAACATGTACATTCTCAGAATAAAGAGAACGAGATACAAAAAAAGTGCTCTTTAAGAGAATGACTCCATCTTTCAGTGTTGAGTGCAGTCGTTGATCTTTTTTTTTTTTTTTTGCTGTTGCTTTTAGGTTTTTTAGTCGTCCTTCTACTAGTGGACTATATCGGCAGGAAGAAAAGCATGGCACTGTGTTTCCTCATGTTTTCCTTGTGTATTCTACCGTTATACGCTTGCATTGGGAGGTACGTTTGTTTTTTAATATCATAGTACGACAGCAGCTAACCCAAACATGCTTGACATTAAAACACCCAGGCTGATTTGTAACTCTTTTTTTTTTTTTTTTTTTTTTTTTTTTTTAAATTAATCCAGGATAGCCCTTACCATCTTCATCTTCATTGCCAGAGCCTTCATCTCTGGTGGATACCAAGTTGTTTTTGTTTACACACCAGAAGTACGTATCACTTTTCAATTTAGCAGATTTTGTTTGTTTGTTTCTTTTTTCAGACAGGTCAAATTGGACAAACTGTACTCACTGACTTTTCTTTCTTTTGTTTAGGTGTTCCCTACAGAAAACAGAGCTTTAGCAATGGGAACGTCAAGTGCCATGGCCAGGTTGGGTGCCCTGATTACACCCTTTGTGGCACAGGTATGAAGCAGTCTCCTGTTTTTGTGTTTTTGAACAAGCTAATAAAACGTTTTCGGTAAATTTTGTCCAAATCTATCTCCTAAATGAAATTCTTTTTTTTTTTTTTAAGGTCTAAGATGTTAGGTTCTCTATTACATGTAACAGCAATAGTACAATGCATACATACAATGGCCATGTTGTTAAGTAAACCTATTCAACTATTTATTGGCATAAATGTCTAATCAGCTAATCATGTGACATGTAGGCATGTAGACATGGTCCAGATGGCCTGTTAAAGTTCAAACCAAGCATCACAATGGAGAAGAAACATGATTTAAGTGACTTGACCGTGGCATAGTTGTTGGTGCTGTCTGTATAAGAGGAACCTACTTGTTTTATCTTCTTGTGTTGTGGTTTGTTTGATTAAGTGTGTAATAGCTATGGACGAGGTTGATGCAAATGGGTGTTCTTGTTTAACAAACAGAACAAACCATTTGTTACAACTGACCATTTCCATCCCTTTATGACCACACTGCCGTCTTCTGATAGCTCCTTCCAGCTGGGTAATGTCACCACCATGTTACAAAGCTCATCATCTCAAACTGGCTCCTTAAACATGACATTGAGTGCAATGTACTCAAATGACCTCAGCACCTTTTTGGATGTGAGATTCACATTATGGATGTCGATGCTGCCAAATCTGCAGCAACTGCGTCATGCACGTGCCAAAATCTCTGAAGAATGTTAAAGCAAAAGAAGGTCAAACCCAGTACAAGCAAGTGTATGTCCGGTTATTCTAAATTTTGAATCAGTGTGACCCGTTTTCAACTCGGCTGAATAATATTATTTGGCATCCAGCGTGGCAGCGATAATTTCCATACCTCATATTGGATATTAAAAGCATTACAATAGGCCTCTTAAATTAAACTGTGAATTGAAATGTCTGCTCTTACTGTTACTCACCAAAAGACAGTATCTATATCACTGAGGGCTAAAAACAAGTATCCAAGAAAAATAATCAGTGAAACTGTGTGAGGTGGGATTACGTAATGCATTGCTTACATGTTTGTGAATCTGCATCTGTGTCATTTCGACACACCCAAGTTTTGGAATTTTCTCCATGGTTTTACTAGAGTTCAAAAACCAACATTGTTGTCAATGATTATTTAAAGAATGTCATAAACTATATGATAGTTTGACAATATTGTGACTTGTGGTAGATTTAAATTAGTCCAGTCAGGCTCTTTATTATTTAAGAGGTGTGTTTTTCTCTGTTTGGCCTCTCACTTTTTGTGTTTTGGTTCTAGGTGTTGCTCAGGACGTCTGTGTATTTGACTCTGTCGGTGTATTGCAGCTGCTCTCTGCTGGCTGGCGTTGCATCTTGGCTCCTGCCCATCGAGACATTGGGAAGGAATCTGCAGGAGTCCAGTCTCGACCAGGAGACTGCAGGGCAGACGACCTCCACCACCAGAGAGTCAGATAATACAACGGGCTCAGCGGACCAGTGACGGATGAGGCAGGAATATAATAAAAAAGAAAGTGTAAAACCTGTTCTCCCACCTTCCGGTCTCCTGCAGTTACGTTGGTTGTCAGTTTATGGGTAGACTCATCTGCGCAACGATGGGTGAAGAACAGCAGGGGGGACTCTCGTTACAGACGGGGAGTGACAATTGAGGCTTGGCCTAATGAGAGCGGAAGAACACTTGTTGGACTGGTTTGTTTACTCAGTCTTCCACTCAGGCCATAAGAGGCAACAGAGGGACATTCTGGAAATATTAATGGCTTGTCCCCATGCTGCCGATACAGGAGGTCTATGGCTTTACTCAGTGTGGGTTCAGATTTGCTCTTTGTATTTATTTGTGTGTAAAGTAGAATGTAAAAGGATGCTTTCTTCCTCACAAGTTCTAGTTGCTCACAGTTGTGATCTTTATAAAAGATTAATTATTTAAAGGAGGCACATTGAGCAAATTTAAAAACGTGTATGTCAGCAGTCTTAGATATAGGATTGTCTTTAAAAAAAATTATAATAATTAAATCGGCAGTGAAAATAATCGTGTTGCAACTCTAATTAGTTAACAATTATTCTAAAAAGTAAAATTCTTTTGAGCCCATTTTTAGTTGTAGTCTGGGGTGATGTGGAGGACAAAAACAGCTAAAAATAAATCTACATAAACAACTCCATAAATGGGTAATATGACATTGTATGTATAAAAAGCCATACATTTCATTTGTACCTAGTATCTGTTTCAAGTTTATATTTAATTGATTCATATTTAAATGTATTTATTTAGACATACTTTATCCTTTACTTCCCGCTTTCTAAAACCTAGCATCTACATTTTTTTTCTTATAGATTTTTTTTATACTTTTGTTGCATCAGTATGCAAATGAGGGAAATACACTTCATTATTTGCAGTGAGAAATGGGGGGGAATAAAAATGTATACATATTTGTAGTTTTTAAAAAATAAATGGTAAACATGTGCATTTTTTTTGACAAAAATTATGAAAAATTAAGCATTAATTTACTTGACATTTTATAAAATTAATATTCATTTTTATGTATTATTTTGGTACATTTTCTTACCAATGAATGCAGAAAGGTTTTCTGTAATATTTTCATCTATAAATATTATATAATAAATATAAAATTAATCGGTTTTTGTTGTCTTAAAAACGTCCTCTCACAAACACTATGTTTCATAACGTGAGCACATTTTTATAATTATCATTAAATATCGTGAATATTTGTTTTTGGGAGTTCCTAGTCTGGCCTGTCACCTTGACAACATTGGCCCAATGACAGCGCACACGCGAACTAGGCCAGCCAATCACAGGCATCCGGCAAAGCTGCATGTCATTTCTGCCCCGCTTGCAACCTGCGCTGTGTTTTTGTTTGTCTGTCTGCACACCAGCGAAGAAATCACAGAGTCTGCTGCTGCTGGCGCGGAACGAAAACCCAGGAACTCTCTCTTCTCTCACTTTCCGCCCATGAGGACTCCGGTAACCGCAGAGGACGCACGGAGCAGGACCGAAAGGGAGCACGGCCGGGGCAGTGGAGTCAGGTGCTGCTGCTGGATGAGAGTCTGACTAGGCATTTTCTCCCCGGTGACAGCGACAATCTCAGCGGCGCATCTTCCCGGATAGGCGCTCCTCCTCCCCTCCCTTCCCTTCTCCTCTCCTCTCCTGCAGCTCACTGACCATGGCTCTGGTGACACTGCAGCGCTCTCCCACCCCCAGTGCTGCATCGTCGGCTAGCACGACCAACAGCAGTGCGGGGGAGGTGAGTGGAAATGCCGGGGGGCTGGGTCTTTGTGTGTGTGAGGGGGAAGACGCCAAGAATGCGCCCACGGGAGTGTGTAAAACAGGTTGGGTGGCGTTTGCGTTTGATATCCTGCAGGAAAGGGTTAACCTGGTTTCCGTCATAGTGCGTGTGTCCAAATGTGTGCGCTTGTGTGCTGCAAACTTGATATATTGTTACAACAGGGAGTTGTTTGTGGCTACTGTGGCAGGGGATTTGTAAACAAAAATCCTGCAGAGGGGGAGGGGACGGAGGGGGAAACGGAGGGGGGCTGTCGGATTTAGCTGTCAAGACACAAAGTGCTCGTTTTGCTGCTGCACAAACATTCGCAGGTCTCGGTGTTGCCGAGGTTTTTATTTGCGAGTAGTGCGGTCACCAATTTGGGAAGGAGGTCCTTAAATGTGGGGAGAGCGAGCCAAGTGTTTTTGCGAACTTCTAGAAATTTCAGAATAGCTCAGATCCATAACTGCACCGTGAAAATGCGCTTGGCCCTCACCGAGACGTCAAATCCCGCGCAGCACCACGCAGACAAACCGATAAGCTCCGTGCTCCTTGTTTCCAAGTTACATAGCAGGAAGAAGGGTTGTTGGTTCTAGTCGGGTTGCGTGGAGAAGTGATGCTGACTTAGTGGAGTTGGAGGCATTAAACCTCCACCTGTGAAAGCAGGGGCGTCGGTTAGAGATGGAGCACTGTTGGACGTTTTTATCCACGTGAAATCCTAACATCTGTGCTCGTGCGCCACTTTCTGGGTTTTCAGGAAAGTGGATTATGCGCTCAGAAGTAGGCTGAGGCACAAAAATAAGCAGTGACAAGCCTTGCTTTGAAGATAGGTGGGTGCTTCATCTCACCATCACTATTCTGCTAGAGTCAGCCGGCAGGAAGGAGGTGTGTGTGTGTGTGTGTGTGTGTGTGTGTGTGTGTGTGTGTGTGTGTGTGTGTGTGTGTGTGCGATGTCTGAATTAGTTTTTCGTTTTTTATTCCTGAAATTTGAAGGTGTCCTAAGGATTGAGCTGTCAGCTCTTTGCAACTTCATAACAGATTAGTTCACCAGGCTGCAGAGAGTTGGCCAGCAGGTGGCGCAGGCATTCTTTCGTCCATCTCTGCATGGTCCTTGAGACGTTCAACTTATTTAAGAGCAACTGCAGCCAAAAATTCAGAAATTTCGAACAAAAAATGTAAAATCCTCTCAGTTGTAGTTGTGTGATATGTTTAGCAGGATACTCAAGCGTGTGGTCCATGTGTGTTTGGTGCCTGCATTTCTATTAATGCGAAGCACTCTTAACTTTATCCTTGTTATGAAATAGTTCTGTTCCTTTCCCACTGTTCCACTGTTCATGATCATCACAGTTTTTATTTTTTTTAGTATAAATATATTGTATGCTGTTTCAGATTCGCTCTTTTTACTTGTCTTTCAGGATTTCGGAAGCGATGATGAGAGGAAAAATAATCAGAGGTAAGACACTTTCTTTAGGTTTTTTTAACATATTTGAAGCTCTCTAGAGACGACATTTATAGCAGAATACAAAAGTATTGCGTTTCTTATAGTGGTCTTGTTTTCTGAACAACAATGCATATGGTAAATGGTAAATGGCCTGTATTTATATAGCGCTTTTCTAGTCCCTAAGGACCCCAAAGCGCTTTACATATCCAGTCATCCACCCATTCACACACACATTCACACACTGGTGATGGCAAGCTACATTGTAACCACAGCCACCCTGGGGCGCACTGACAGAGGCGAGGCTGCCGGACACTGGCGCCACCGGGCCCTCTGACCACCACCAGTAGGCAACGGGTGAAGTGTCTTGCCCAAGGACACAACGACCGAGACTGTCCAAGCCGGGGCTCGAACCGGCAACCTTCCGATTACAAGGCGAACTCCCAACTCTTGAGCCACGATCATCCCCATATCATACTGTTGTTATAATGAGATCTGAAATTGTAATACAGCACATAATTTTCTTTGTTTTTGGACCAATTAAAGGAGAATCGGGCTCAGGATAGTTCACTTCAGATGCATTTGCACTACGTGAAATAGAGTACATACAAGGCAGCAAACCTGACACTGACTTAACAGCTGTAATGATGGAAGTCAGCATCTCAGCTTTGTCCCAGGAAGCTGACAGGATAAAGAGTGGCTAACGTTCAGCTTCATTATGTACTTGCATTCGTACATTCACCTCCACTGCCTGAAACAAGCTGCTCTAGCACCTCTCCCTTTAAGGTCACCTTGTCCTTAAGCCAGCTTTTTTCCTATTGGCTCCCTCTCACAAACAGAAGGTATGAAGTGGGTGGATGGGGTTTCTGTGTACAAGCCAGGCTATTTGTCTGATATGGCCATATAAGGAAGTCCCGTTTGACATCATAAAGAGCCAGGAGTGTTTACTTGCATATACGCTGACCTTTGGTGACATGAGCAGCCTCCACCATGGCGATTATATTACTGTAAAAGATGTAAGGAGAAGCATTATAGGTGCACTTTAGTCACATGTGAAATACTTTGTATGCCTGTTTTGAAAAATATTTTAGAGATCAAAATTGGACTGCACAGAAACGCAGGAAGTAAACAGGTCTGATCGGAATTTGGGTATGTTTAGTGTATCTTTAGTTTTTTTTAATAGGTGCCTGCTGAATTTGACTATTTCTGCCAAATGCTTCTGTGCAATAGATAATATACTAGATGTCAGGAAGGGTTTGTCGGTATGGATAGTAAACATTAAAAAAAACATGTATACTTTCAAAAAAGAGAGTGAAAAAGGAAGGTTTTAAAAGATGAATGATAATTATTGTATTTAATAGTATTTTCATCAGGCCTGCAGTGGGAATATCTGCAGTAAGCGCAATGCAAAAGCGTTCCTGAAGATGAATTAATAAAAAGAGGGAGGAAAGAATTCCCACATGCCATGCATACTCAGCGTGTGACTTATGACCTTACTGAATAATTTGTTAACAAGCTGAAAATCCTTTTTTCTACGTATTTCAATTGTATATCACAGATTTTCCATCCATCATGGCGAACTATTTAAACACAAAAAAGTATCACTGCAGCGGCAAGATGATGCAGTAATGCATGAATACATTAGTGGCAAAATGAATCCATCTAATAGTTTTTTTGTGTGTGTCTTTAATGGAAACGATTTAAATAAAAGTAAATAAGCTGAACCAGGAAAATTAATGCTATTAAATTTTATACATTAATGTCTTTATTTGATTTTTTTTTCCCTGGTGGCCTGTGAGTCATAATGAGTCACATACTTATGTTTGATTTTTGGCCCCGGTTTCTCAGAGCTGTCAAGGAGAAAAATCTGCTGGACGAACAGTTGATTTAACTTGACAAGGCTTTAAAAAATGTTTCTCGCACTCCGTTGCATAACAGAGCGCATAAACCGCTGTCCCCGCTCAGTCACGAGGCTTTTCTTTAATCAACTTGACGTCACAAAAATCATGACTTGTGTCAGCAAAGCTTTGGCACAGACTGCCTTTGTGCTCGTGTTTGTGCGTGTGGGTTTGTCAGAGTTGAAACGGTCGTATCATGCTTTGAGCTTCTCCGCGGTTCGCAGATTCATCAGCGTGTAGTCTTAATTTAGAATTCTGCATGTCAAACTTGAGACTGACGCCAAGTAACAACCCCCCCCCCCCCCCCACCCCCCCACCCCCGTGCGCCCTCCCTCCCTGGAATGAATGATGGTATTGTGGCCGGGCGTTGCATACGGAGAGCCGATTGCTGAATCACGAACTGTGAAAGAGGAGACGGGGGAGCCAAATCTGAACGGAACCCGGCGGCACAGATCCGGAGGTTTCAGGGTTTGGGATGGAAAGAAAGCTGAAAGGGGAAGAGAGGAAGGACAGGCAGGTTCAACCCAAACACGCTGTGCAGAGGTAGATGTTAATAAGAGGGAGGGGGAGTGGGGCGTTTTGACTGAGAGAAGATGCTTCTGGTCATAAAATCCTCAAATAAAGACATGCTCACCGTGCTGCCTCACTTTGTGGAGAAAGCTACTTGGACTCGGACGGAGATCTGCCGCATGTAAGTCTTCACAGCAGCACAAACAAGATCATTCTGTATACTAGATCCGTATTAGCAACAATCTGCAAACAGTGGCAGTATAGAATATGTGAGCTCTTTTACTTTAAAGTCATGAAAACATTTGTAGGAGAAGCAAGCGGCTTTAAAATCTACATCCTAAGTCTTATTCTGATGGTTGAGAATTGGGTTTTTCTTCGTGCTCAGTCCTTTACCCGGTCACGGTGTGAATTTGTTCAGGGATTCTGTTTTTTTTTTAAGCTAAATCCTCCGTGACTTCGTCTCATTCATCTTCTACATACAGTTGAAGAGGATTAATGATAGCACGTTACAGTGGAGCTGAAACAAAAGGCCTTGTGATGGCCCCACTCAGTCATACCAGGCTTTGTGTGTTTTTGGTCAAGAGAGGAATGAGACCGTGGTCGAACAAAGCTACACACTGTTCTGTGTGAGAAAATACGCTGAAGCTCTCCTCCTGCTTAGTGCAGCCTTCATAACAAAGTCATGACCCAGGAGTGCTTCATTCAGCACAGGTGGGCCGAGCAGAGGAAGTCTGAACGTTTGAGTGCATGTAGATAGCTGAGTGTGTGTGAGGTGCATAAAGGTCAACAAACCCAATCAAGTGGAGTCTGGTCACCATTACTGTTAAAACTAAGGGCTGTTAAATGTGCTGGATCAGGACTCTGCTGACTTTCAGTCCCAGATGAGCCATCCGTCCTGCTCAGTGATCCAAACAGGACTAAATAAGAGAAGTACCTGCTCACGCTGTGTGCTGTGTCCCGACAGGCCTTTCATACGTTACTGGTGTGTGACTTCAGCTTAAATTTGGCCAAATGTGCAACACAATGGAGTATCTGCACTCACCTGTTTACAGGAGGTACAGCAGGTCAGTCAGTTAAAGCCAAATCATTGTTTTTTTTTAGTAAACAGAATCACTTTGGACTTCAGGATTTTGTAATGAAATGAGGACCGTAAGGATGTCATTTCAGAGTACAGGATATTGTATAGAGCAAAAAAAGAAGTCTTTTCAGAATAATGGCTCATTGTGTGCACAGTTAGGGTTGAATTTTATGAAGTTTTATTTTTCAGCTTTAACAATTTTAGTTTAACAACCTTATCACCAAATGTTTACATTTATGTTTATATTTTGAAAGTACGCTGACAATTTTTGACATTGTCTTTTCTGATTTATTACTGCTATTTGTTATTCTTACTAAGACAAAGTTTAAAGTGTGTTTTCAAGCTGAACTGCATCGGTTTAAATCAGCTGATGGCGCCGAAGTAATGTCAGAGCTGAATTTTAGAAAATGTTTTCTTGTTTGTTTGTTTTCATTTGATTCTAAAGGCTGTTGGTTTAGTTTAGTTACATCTGCCAGTGAGGCTATGTGATTGTTTGAGGTTGTCAGTCTGTTGTTAGCAAGATTGAAACAGAGGTGGAGTTTGGCCCGGTGTGAGGGGGAATTAACTTTTGGGGTTGGTGTGTTTGCTGCTGTGAATTCAGGAAATTTTGAAAGGATTCTTTTACCATTGTAGACAAAGCCCAAAAAAAAAACTTAATTTACGCCATTTTGGACAAAGGTACTGGTCCAGCTGCTCGAACACCGTAGCCCATGCGATGAAGCTCCTGGCGCAGCACGTTTCTGTGCTGATGTTAATGCCCGAGGAGGTTTCTCTGCAGATGTTGAGTCAGCAGACTTTCATGCATCAGGACTCAGTGACCCTGCTCTTCAAGGGTTTGTGGTCTGCCACTTCATTGGCTGAGTTGCTCAACTTACAGTCAGTAGTGGATTAAAAAAAATCCACAAACTGACTTGTTGCAACAGCGGCATCGTGTTACAGTAACACGCTGGAATTCAGTGACCTCTTTAGAACAACCTTTTCTTTTACAAATGTTTGTAAAGGCAGACTGCATGGTTCGCCTGAAGATTTGTTTATATAATACATCTTCACAAATGCATATCAGAGTAAAATATGAGAAACTGTCAGATATCATTTTGTAGTTCTCCAGAAAATAACTGAGTTATCCAAATCGTGACGTCCTTCTGGATCCAGGGTGGGAATTTATGCACGCTGTGGAGGGAATTCTCTTCTTCTGCTCTTATTTTGCTGTTTGAATTCACTTTCTTCACTTCGTGATTAAATCCTTCATGATAAAATACTGGAGGAGATGCCATTTTCTTTTTCTATTTCAGTCCATAATAATAATAATAATAATAATAATAATAATAATAATAAAGACTGAGAATGGAGTTAAAGTACAACAGATGTGATGTTTTTCAAGGAAGTGAGATTATTTAAACTTATTGCAGCTCAACAGATTTTCCACGAGGCAGTCCGTTCTTTGTGACTTTTAGCTTGGCATACGTGAGCTGGTTAGCTGTGAGCGCTACCATGCAGCCCAACTTGCTGCCATTTGATGAAAGTTCAGTATTTCTTGTGGTTGGATTTTAGGGTATAGAATGACAAATTTGGCTGCTTATGGCCAAAGTGTAGTTGTGTCCAGGCATCAGCATCACTGAATTCCTTTTGCACATCTACTTTTCAGCCTCAGCGAGAGCTTCTTCATGGTCAAAGGAGCCGCCCTCTTCCTCCAGCAAGGTGGCAGCACGCAAGGACCAAAGACCCCGACCCACCACAAACATGCAGGTGGGAACAGAGTCACGCAAAAACACACAAAGCTTTGTGTTTTTTCTCTTTTACCTATGTTCACTGCACAAACAAGACCCCAGACAAAAGCAAATGTGTATTTGCCGAGTCTTTTCTCCGTGTTTGTGGGTTTTGTTTGTGTTTAGTCTGAAGCATCACATAATTCGGTCTGACCCGAAGAGCCCTGCAGTTCAACGCCAGGCTTACATAGACTGTTTCATACAAGAGCACTCAGAGGGCACAACTCCCCCATAAGGCCAAGCGTTATGCTAAAACTTTGATGTTTTTATGATGACGCCAGCATTGTTACTATGGAAATCTAGTGCAGTATATTAATCTTTTTGTGTCATATAATGTTGTATGGAAAAACAACCTTATATTGTTTTAAAGAAAAAACAAAGTAAGTGCTGATGTCCCCCAATAAAAAATGAAAGTTTGGTTCAATGGAAAATGAAGCTTTTTCCCAATTCGTGTGGCCCTGACCTTTGACCTATGACCTGCTGCAAGGTCAAAGGTCAGGGCCTTTGACATTTTTCTTGGTCAAAGGCCCTAAAAATGTATTATTTTTATTATCTTTGATTGGAGCAGAATAGGCTGAAACGTTTGGCCTTTATAAACTGTAAAAACTTCAGACTTTAAGCTATAATAATGCGGTTGTGACTGAACCAGTTGCTAAACTTTATGGCGTTGTTGTAATGTTGTAGGGTGTGGTATTGAAAATATAAAAGCGGCATTGTACAGCTCTCTGCATGCTCTTTCATGAGATATATTACTCAATACAGTTCCTTTGATAGTTTTTGGGTGGGCGCCACTTTAGCTCAGTGGGTGAGCGTGTCCACATGCGGCATGACCAGAGTGTTTTCTCCCTCTCTTTCTCCCCAGTTTTCTGTCTTCACATTGCTATACTATCTAAAAGAGGCAAAAAAAAATAGCCTTTAAGGATGATAAAATTTGACTGGGCACTAACAATAAGGTTGAGGGGAAATGCTTAGCTGCCTAGGTACTCATGTCCCCCAAGCTGTAGAATATTGTTGTGAAATTTGAAGACGATCCATAAAAACAATCGTGAGTGGCATAAAGTTTTTACTGATTTTCACATTTGGGGTGACCTTTACCTGCTTTAACCAAAGTTAAATCAGCTGTTGTTGGCATCTGCCATCACACAGAATTAGAAAATGATATCTTGAAAACTGTGGATGCTAGACTGCTAACAAACAGACCGACAGACAGACAAGCAAACAGTCGATTACAAACTCCGTCCCTTTGGGGGAAGAACGATCAAGTCTCAAACTGTGTGCTTGTGCTCATTTCCAGCTTCACCGTTTAATTATTAGACTCACCTAATAATGTCTGCATGCTCCATAGTTCAAAACAATCCTTTATGTAATTTATGTTTAAAATCTTTGGAAATGTGTTTAAAAACTGTTGAAATATGAACCTAACAGACTGAAACTGTGAGGTTGCCATTCAGCTCTATCAGTGACTGCCATTCGTGCTTGTCTCTCTGCCAGTCTCTTTCACTAACACTCTTTGGGTTTTTTTTGTGTGTGTCTATAAAATTGTGGGCAAGGGCAGGAAAGGTCAAGTCAGTTTGTAAAAACCTCTGCTAAATATTTACTTCAGCACAGCTGGGAGGTTAAACGATTTGGATTTATCTTCATTGTGAGAAATGTGCAAAATTTTCCTCCCACTGAAGAAAACAATAGAAAAAGCTGAATGGTCAGTTTGTAGTTGACCTTCGGAAAGTCCAGAAATCACGTCTCTAAAGCTCATGTCTGATTAAAGTGTATATTATCTATATTGTTAGTGCGATCTTCAGTATGTCTGTCAGCTGATTATTGTTAGTTTCAGTTGTTATATTTTATGCAAATAAACATACAGAAGCATGAAATCCACTTCTTTGCCATGGTAACCAAGCAAAATCCTGTCCATATCAGACGACAACACTGTGACGCTGACCTTCAGCCAGTCTGGCATGCAAAACGCAGTTTAATCAGTTCCCACGTGAGGAAAAATGTGAATTATGTTAAAGGCATTGTTGTTGAATCATTTCACAGTCTGCGTTTCACTTTCAGGTGATTTGCCTCAACATCTGCAGGTCATGTTTAAGATTCTCCGGTCTGAAGATCGCATTAAGCTGGTCAGTACAAACATGTTGCCATGTGTTGCTTTGTTTTTGTTGCTGGAAGCGTTCATTTCATTTATTTGATTCAGCAAAGATGAAATCAGAGACTTAAAAGTAAAGACCTGCTCCACTAGTTAACTGAGTGTTTTTTATAGTAATGTGCAAAAGTCTTGAGCCCAATAACCTGTCTTTATATTTAGCTTCAAAAGTTCTCCAGGCTTTCTGAAGGTCTTTCAAGGGTTATCTTTGGACACTGGCTGCTTTTCCATTCACTTTTAGTCCAGTCATTACACCTGATCATTTTCAGAGAAATCTTTTATAGAAAGTACATAATATGTTCCAATTTGTTTAGAATCTATGCATCTATGAAAAATGTCATGGATAACACAGTTTGACAGGCTTAAATGTGTATGTTTGTGTTAACAAGGTGATTCCCACAGAGCTATTAGCCAAAAACTTGTAGTGTCATGTACTGTTCACTACCGCCTCATTACAAATGGTCTCAGTGGTGGCTGTCAAGAAGCTATTCTTAAGGAAGAGAAACGGTAAAGAACTGGCGTGTAGATCATTGTTGTGATGGCAGATCCATCCATCCATGAAACAAAAAATAATAGAAGAGCAGGAATAGGCCAAACACCTGGGATTGCAAACATATGTAAAAACACAGATGTTGTTCCTGAGCTTGCAAAAAAGTTTCGTTTTTGAAAAGAGCTGGGGTTTTTACCCAATCAAATCTGCAGAATAAATCCAGAATGTGGCCACATTTTATTGTTATCCAGCAGTACTGCTGTAGAGTCCAGACGCAGTGTTTTGCAGTCTCTCCTTTTGTCGTGCAGGCTGTGCGGTTAGAAAGCAGCTGGACAGATCGAGTGCGCTATATGGTGGTTATCTACACCACTGGCCACCAAGATACAGAGGAAAACGTCGTCCTGGGAATGGACTTTACAGATAAGGACAGGTAATTAGTCTCTCTGCACGTGCACATTTTACCTGTTTTAATGAGATTTGTTAACCTCATGTTGTTGTGATCTACAGTAAGAATTGCTCTATTGGGATGGTGCTGCCGCTGTGGAGCGATACCAACATACATTTAGATGGAGATGGGTAAGTTTCACTTTGCCACATGCAGAGAACAAAAACACTAATGGATGTTTTCATTCTGATCACTTCAAAATGTGAGACAAGGGTTTTCTAGCGAGGCTCATTTCGAGCCTATTCTTTAGGCTTTAGTGCCCACCAGTGGCAGTGGAGGGAGTTACACAGATTTTTTTTTTTCCCTCTGTGTGATAACAGTTCTTGCTGACCTGTTAACATTGTCCCTGCCTCTGTAAGCTGGAGGAATGTTCCACTGTTTGGTGTCCTGAATAGACCCCATGGACGAGCCCTGTCCAGTCTGTGTTTACATCCCCCTCATTACTCTTCATCTCAGTCCAAACTAATCTCCTTCTCCGGCTTTTCTTCTTCTTCACTAGAGGCTTCAGTGTGAGCACAGCAGGGCGGTCACATGTCTTCAAGCCTGTGTCTGTGCAGGCCATGTGGTGAGTTCTTCATGTCTGTCTAGAAGTGGGGTTGTGTTAATACGCCGTTACCCAACATTTTTGCCAAAGTGATTGGGAATTGAATTTAAAATCAGTTAAAAATGTGTACATTTGTTTGTGTTAACTTGGAGGATACGGTTCGTGTCTTTGTGCAAGTTGTGAAGGTCTGTTACAGTTGTGCTCAGACATTTACATACACTCATCACAGGCATGGATGTCATGGGAATTTTGGGACTTTTAAGGATTTCTTGGAAATTAGGTGCACACATATCAACAAATATCAAATATAAGCAATGAAGAACTTCAAAGAACTCTGTGAAGATCTAAGAAGGAAAATTGTGAATTTACACAAGTCTGTTGAAGCCATTGTTAAACATCTGCAGATTTTAGGATCATTAGTTCAAACAACTGTACATAAGTACAAGTTATTCAGATGTGGCATTGCTTTGCCGCAGTGTAGAAGAAGACCCAAACTGTCACCCTCAGATGAGAGGAAATTGATTAGGATGTTCAGGAACAACCCAGGAACCATCAAACCTCAATCTTGCCATGAACACTGCAGCTGTCAACCATGGTGGTGGCAGCATCGTGTTCTGGTCTGCCAGTGCTACTGTTATGTTGCACAGTGTGGATGAAATAATGAAGGAGGAGGACTACCTCCCAATTCCTCAACTTCATTCATGGTTTAATCAACTTCAATCTTGAATCAGCAGCTAGACATTTGAAACTTAGACACAGTTAACTAGGTGTTATAACAGGATAATGATTCAAAACGCAGCTCAAAACTGGTTTTGGAATGAAGAAAGCAGCGGATTACGCTTAAAACCGACCAATTTAAATGAACCAATTCTTGTACGTCTTGATGGTCAAATATTCACTCAGAATTATGTCAGAAGCTTTTTGATGGCTACCAAAATCTTCTGGATACATCTTGTTTAGATACTTTACCTTTTATATATTTGAGTCTGTTTTCCACTGATGACACTCCTACCACACTCTGTGTATGTGAGCGTTCACATGCCACCTTCTGGTCAGCTGACAAAATTACCAATAATGTGCAGGTTTCCCTTCTGTTCAATGGGGATCTTTAGCAGTTAAAAGTTTGCGTCATGTTCCTGCAGGTCCGCCCTGCAGGTCCTCCATAAGGCATGCGAGGTGTCCCGCCGGTTCAACTACTTCCCAGGGGGCATTGCTCTCACATGGATGGCCTTCTACGAGAGCTGCATCACCTCCGAGCAAAGCTGCATCAATGAGTGGAATGCTATGACCGACCTGGAGAGCACCCGGTCTGATTCTCCCACCATGTTCGTCGACCAGTGAGTACCCAGCATAGCAACTCACCTCATGTAATGAAGGAAAAACGGGCACATCTTTTAAGTCATGCAGTACTAATTAATTATCCTGTATTTTTCAAAGAAGATTTAAACAGATCTCATGCAGCCAAACAGATCATAGATCAAACGTGCCTGCGCCGTGTGTCTTTAGTCGTAAATTTATATGCTTTGGACACGAGCTGCTGTTCTTCTGTTTCTGGCCTTTGTCTTCATCAGTGGGAAACACTGTTATGCAAATTTTCATTCAGACCACAGCACTGATGCATTGACTCATTATGTGCAGGCCAACTGAGCGAGAGAGAACTGAATGTGCCATTAAAGCCAAACTACGCAACATCATGATGTTTCAAGACTTGGAAAACATCACCTCAAAGGAGGTACGTGCCGAATCAGTATTTGTCATTCAACGGGCAAGGAATGGTCTAAATTTTCTTTTATTTTCACGTTTTAGGAAAGAATACACTAATTAAAGATTCAAATTAGCTGTCTATAAAAGTTTAAGTGTGTTTTCCTCAATAACTAGTCACTGCCGATCTTTGTTTTTATGCATTCAGGCAAAAGGCCTTATTTTAATCTCTTCAGCACAAAACAAGTTTTTTGTTTGTTTTTTTGCATTTTTGCTAAATAAAAATTAAAAAACTATTTTCCCAGAGCAGGCAGCACTACGTGTTTTATTTGTCAGATTTTTACACTTTTACACTTTTTACACTAAGGGATTTGCCTCCTGGGATGAACCAGGGACCTTTTGTTTGTAGAACCTTTACAATATTAAATAAAGGTACCAATGCTTAACCTGTGGTTGGTAATGCATTTGGAAACCATGTTTTTAAGAAAGTGGGGGTTCATGTTAATTCCTCATCCTCAGATCCGTAACGAGCTGGAGCAGCATATGAACTGTAACCTCAAAGAATACAAGGAGTTTATAGACAATGAGATGCTTTTGATCCTCGGTCAGATGGACAAGGCTACACTTATCTTTGACCATGTCTATTTGGTGAGTTGTTTGCATCTTGTAGTATAATTTAGAATTCTGTATACCCGCCCTCCATACTGATAGCCAAATACTCTTTCACTGTGGTATATAGTTGGTTTAAATACAGTTATTCTGTGTAAGTTTCGGCCTTTCTTCCTCTCTAGGGCTCTGAGTGGAACGCTTCCAACCTGGAAGAGCTACGTGAGTGTGGGTGAGCTGAGAGCTTAACACTAACCAAAGAATCTAACCTATTTTTCTTGGTTTAATCCCACTTGTCTAATTCTCATTTATGTGTCTCTTGTTATTCCTATAGACATATAATTGCAAAGTCTGTTAAAATCAGACCAAATTTAAGTGCTTGACTTAACTTTGTGCTTGAAGTTAAGTATGAAAATATGCAGAGCTTTAGTAATAACCATAGATTGCATATAGATTATGAATATTGGCGTCATGCATTACTTAATGTAGTTTGGATTTGAGCTTTGTGGCCATGGCTGTCTTGGTGTTTAAAGACCAAACATCACAAGTGAGGCCAGGATCTGGCTGAGAAACTGAAGGAGAGTTCTCTTGTGGTAGAGATCTGTCAGTCACAAGGGTGCTATACCCTACACCTTACTGTTATTTCTCTACATTGCACCACAATTTACACAATTAACATGTTGTATTCAGTAAGAATTTAGACCCATCAGGAAAGTGTTTACTGATATCATACATTAACAGAGTAAAAGACCTCCCTTGTAGCCCATAGAAAATACAGCACGACTACTTTTTGCAACCAGAGGAGGCACCTCCTGCTGGCCATTAGCAAGTAATGCAGGTTTATAGCATTTGTATCTGACCTGAAGGCTACATCCAGTTTTTATATCCAGTCTATATGAACAATATGGTTCATGCTCAAACACCACATAGAAAAATAACTGCTCAAAGAAGAAAGTGCAAGAAGAAGAAAGAGAGAAGAGACTTTGGACACACGAAAGACTTTTTCTAAGTAGAATGGAGCCTTTTTGTCAAATCTAATCTTTGCTATTTGTCACAGCAAATCAAGACCTGGTTGTGGGTGAGCTCTTTCAGGACTCACTGCTCTTTTTTGTTTTGTTTTTTCCTACTATGATAAAGGTCTGTGGGCAGAGGAGTAAATATTAACATGATGGGTTTTTTTGCAGAGTGGGTTTTATTCTGAACGTTACCAGAGAGATCGACAACTTTTTCCCAGGCTTGTTTTCTTACCACAATGTCCGAGTGTACGACGAGGATGCCACTGACCTGCTGGCCCACTGGAATGACACTTACAACTTTATCGTCAAAGCCAAGTGAGAGCAAAACAAACCAGTCATCTTGGGGGTGGGAGGGGGCTTGCTACTGTTGTCTAGATTCATAAAATGGGGTGAGAGTGATTTTTCTTTTCTCTTGATCCAATAGGAAGAATAATTCCAAGTGCCTGGTGCACTGTAAGATGGGGGTGAGCCGGTCTGCCTCTACTGTTATTGCCTATGCAATGAAGGAGTATGGCTGGTCTCTGGAGAAAGCCTACAACTTTGTCAAGCAGAAACGGAGTATAGCTCAGCCAAACGCCGGCTTCATGAGACAGCTGGCAGAGTATGAGGGAATTCTAGATGCCAGGTAAGCAGGTCTATGCTTTCACTAAGGTTTGCACTTTGCAGAGCCAACAGATGGAACCACTGTGTTTCATGAAGCTAATTAAGATATTATAACTCTGTGTGGTTTTAGTTATTCTAGTCACATTTAAAGCCTAATTCACCTTTGCAGCAAACAGCGTCACAACAAGCTATGGAGGCCTGGAGCAGATGAGGAGGGATCGGATGATTTGCAAGCCTCAGGCCATTGTGCCGGTGGAGGGGAAACACTCAGAGAAGAGGAAGCCTGGGGAGGCTGCGGGGCATCTCCCTGTAGGGGTATGGGTCTGGAGATGGAACCTCTAGACTCTCTTAACTATAATTATTACTTTAGACGTTTGTCAGACTCCGCACTTGACAGTGAGCCTTCCACTCCAGTTCGGGGACCCCCTCTGCTCGGTATGGAAAGAGTTTTTATTGAGATTGAAGATGTAGAGAGAGATGCCCTGCTGGAGGACGAGGGTTTCCCCATGGCCCATTTAGCCCTGCCTGGTGAGGGCACCGCAGCCCAGACCTGTGGACGCCTTGATCCCCTCGAGGACATGAGGCTGAGGCTCGAGTTCAGTACTTTGGAAGAAGAGGATGAAGAAGAAGCTAAGAAAGAGGAAGCTGAGATGGCAGCTTTGGCTCAAATGCCTGGAAATTCAGAGGGGAAGAAAATGGGGGAGGAGGATGAGAGGAGCGAGGAAAGCCGGTTAGGGTTAGCCAACCTGAACACCAACAACAGTAACCGCCTAGCAGCCAAGCGCAGCTGTCCTGCAGCTTTTGATGTGAGTTTAAAAAAAACAAAACATTTTTAGTTGAAAGATAAAGTCTTTAAGTTGCAATTTTAAACATCTATTTGTCGTAGAGGTAAATGTTGTAAAGTGAACATATTTAGTTTTCATGTGACTGACCATATGCTGCATTTTGTTCAATTTTTCTCCATTTAGGACAGTGGTAGCACAGGAAACCCTTTAAAAGTGAAGCCCTCCTATCAGTCCTGTAAGGACTGCATGCGTCTACCGCAAGGGCGGCGCTGTGACCGTCCAACAGGAGGCCGTCCCCACCGCCTTAACCCTTCCCGCCACTGCACTGTCCCTTCCATATGCATAGATCCGCCTGGAACGAATTTTGCTTCCACATCGAGTCTGCAGTCTCTTTCCAGCCCTGCAGTTGTACCACCTAACTTGATCCAGCCCTCTACTCAACTGTACCGCTGTTCCACCTGTGCCCCTGACGTCACAGCTGTTCCCCTAACCAACCACCAGAAACTGGCCTCACCCATGAACTGTGAGGAGGCGCCTCCTGACCGCAGCTCAGTGGAAACGGAGGACATGGATGAACCGCAGGGTGAACAAGTGTTAAGGGAGTGTACTGACGCCATCAGTGACGCTGAAGATTTAAAATTACAACCTGGTGGAGCAGTAGAGCTCCCGCAGCTGCAAATGCCAGGACTGGGGATAGAATTTGGTCTGGAACTGATGCGACAGAGGGCAGAGCAGCTTGAGAAGCTGCCAAGCATGGCCATGGAGGCCAGCTCTCAGTAGGACACCTGCCTTAACACGGTGGCTCAAGCAAAGATGAGATGGGGGGATGAGAAGTGGCTTGCCACTGTCTCAGTCTCTTTAATGGCTTTGAGAAGTTAAAACCTGCTGCTGTGGTACCACGAACAAAGCACTGTGCTGATCTCCACTCTAATGTCTCGGCTCCATTTAAACAAGCTGCAGAAGCTCAGTGCATTGACAGAGAGAGCTCCGTCGTAGACTTCCGGCATTGAGATCCAGATGAGGCCGATTGCTTTCACTATGTGCTTAAGGCCTGGATGCTTCAGATCGAGCCAGGGTGGAAGACTTTCCCGTGTGTTTGAGGCCGCCGTGGGCTATTCGAACTGCCTTTCTCACCACACGTGCAGGATCATCCCCTTTTCCCACTCCCCAGCCGAGACGAGCATTACGCCGCCATGTTGCCATCAGAAGACAAGTTTCAGTGCAGCAGTGGCAGTTCGTAACATCTAGTTGTGGTTCCTTTATGACTCCTCAGAGTGCTTTATTTAAATGTCGATGAAAAGAAAAATACAGAAGTAGCACGCTTCTGTCAGTGTACTCTGTTTCCAGTATTCATGGAGGAGCTCAATAAGTAATTATAGCTGAGCCACTGTTTCCTCATATTACTACAGATAACTGAACCATCACTGAGCTTAACTTATATTTTACCTGCTGCAGCTGCTTTTGCATCGTGAGAGAACATTTCATGTGAAAGCATACTAGTTTATATGAAAGAAAAAAGTGGATGTGACCGTAGCCTTTTTAATGCCTCTTTGTGAAGCACCGTACCTCGGGCCAGGAGCGTCTCAGACTGTTTTTGGTCAAAGACTGTTTTGTTCTTTCTGCTCAGCGGCTACTTCACCCTGACCTCCTCCAATAAAGTTAATCTAATCATGTACTGAAAGCGCTTAGTTTAGTCCACGCATGACTTTGCAGTATTACATAACATATCTCCAACACATTTACACACAAATGTATCGAACAACAACAAACTTCTACTTGAGTTTTTTAGCATTTGATTTTCTAATAATTGGTTACATTGTAAGTAACAACAAAAAAAGGTGCATTCGTTTTTCAAGTGGATTTTGAATTGATTCAGCCTAACCTGATCAATCATCTTATGCATAAGAGAATGACAGAAGATTGAAAGGCATTTAGACCCCGAGCAACAACCAGATCATTTCTGATGTAACCAAAGCTGTAACATGCACGGACACTCGGATTGCATCCACAGATATTTTTAAATTCACACAAATCACATATACAGTAGATTATGCAGTTGAGCACAACTCTAGTATCCATTCACACCATGCACAGTCATACGAAAACAGACCAGGAAATCAAAAAAATATATTTTTTAATCTCTTGAAAGTTTAAGGGATTAGTTGCGTTTGTTCGCCGTGTCAAGTGGAGCCCATCCCTGTGTAATGTATAACTTATTTGCTCTAATGATAACATTTGATCCACGTGTCAACTGGTTATGCTGTAAAAATTTGTTCATAATATACTGTGAAATTGAAAAAAGTAACTCCAGTCACTCCTATATGAAAATCAGATGATATTTATAACTTATTGTACTGGATTTCCTTTATTTTAAATGCAGAGAAGGTAATCTATGACATCAAGATGATTGCAAAGCTTAGCACATGCAGGTTTACACACGTGTCCCAGGCAGTTATTTCAGAGCTTTTTCTAATTTTTTATTTATACTTTCTTTCTTTTTTTGTTCTTTTTTTTTTTTTTTTTTTTTACAGTGTCGCATAGCCTAAGGCTTCTTCTGGTTTGTTTGTTTTTAAAGCTGTTTCCTAAGTGGTGTGCCACAAATCCAAAGTTGCTGTGCCACAAGGTTTATTCTCTGTAAAATTCTCTGTTTGGTTGCTCTTGTGTCGATTCCCTTACTGGCGCGCTGGGTGTGCTGCTAAAGGATGCCTGTTTGTCTGCAGAGAAAGCGTGTGCACGATGTATTACTGTGTTTAGCACTTAAGAAAAATGAAAACTGTGCAAAGAACGAATGCAAATCATTTGGTTATCTTCAACTGTGCATTTATTCTTTATTTTTGTGGAAATTTGGTTTGTTTTTAATTCGATAAGTATGAACAACAGTGCAACCTCTGTTCCTTTTTCTCCCCGGACTAACTGAATCAGAGGGAGCTGCAGGTTTGCTCCACTAATTAGATTAAAATATTTTGGTGCTCAATTTAAGCTGGTCTTTTCCTTCACATGGCCATTTGAGTGTTACGTAACACAAGATGATTGAAAGAGCTTGCAACTGAACAACTTCAAACTGAAAAGAGTTTGAATTCAGAAATTGTAACAAGTGATGAACTTGCAAAGGTTTGTGAAAGACAGATTAAGGAAATATCATATGGAGCTAAAAAACTGGTATGCTTTAATGTAAGTATGAAGCTATAGCCATTATCCAGTTAGCTTAGGTTAGTGTGATGACTGGAAGCAGAAACTAAGTTTATGGGTCTCTGTGTAATCCACCAATTTATTTCACTACTTGACATATTATCTTACTTAAAAAATGTGAAAAATCTTCTTTTTTTGTTTGTTTTTGTTGTTTTTAGTTTTCATGCTACGCTAACTAGCTTCTGACTATACCAATCAAATGCCAAGGTGGTGTTGATTTTGTCGAAGTAAGCATACTTTATCAAATTTCAAACTATTTCTTTAATGTATTAAAGGTGGGATTCCACGTTAAGCCAGTTTTTAGCATTTTAAAGCTCTTGGCACATGGACCTGATTAAGGTTGACAAAATTCCTGCATCCCTGCACCACAGCACTATGTTTGGCTGGTTTTGTCCCTTTTTTTCTATTTAAGTGCCTTAACCTCAGCCTTAGCTCTAACATAAAGCATCACAGGCTTTGCAAATTTTCTGTGAGTGTGTTGATGGTCTGGCTTTTTGTACATTACTTAACCTCACTCCCAATAATAACCATTACCCTTTGCAATGTATAACTTAGCACATATTATAATGTATGCAAACACACTCGAGCTCATTTACAGCAGCATCTTCTCCCTCAACGCACTTGGTGGACTTCCATTTATTAATAGCCTCTAATAATGATGTAATTGTTTGATATTGTTGAGACTTGTGGTACATTGTATTGGTTCAATAGCTGAAGAACCTTATTTGCTGGAATGAGAACTATCATTTACATTAAACTGTTAGATAGGATGAATTTATCTTTGAAATTTACCAGTCTGTACATATTTTTCTCTACAATTTGCTATTTGAGTATATTAGCTTGCAGACATGGTCAATATTTAAGAAGAAAGTATTAAAAATGCTACTGTGTATTGATAAGTACTCATAATTAAGTTCTCGTGTTTGTACCACGCAAAATATTTTATATAATCTCTAATTTAGGCAGTTTTCAGGCTCTATGGAAAATGGCTGTGTTTGTTTTATTGCATTAGTCCCAGGCATCAGGCCTCAAAATGACAATCCTACTGAAGAGCCAAGCACTGAGGACGTTAAAAACACATTGTAATGTAGGGAGGGGGGGTTATTTGAGGTATTTGAGTGTATTTATAGAGCACAAGTCAGCCCCAAAGCACGTGAGCTTGAGTGGAAGATGTAAATAAGTAAAAACCTCCCTGAGAGTAAGATTTTGTTACGTTTGATGCTTTTTGTTAACTTTTGTGTACTGTACATTGCCAATGTTCATGTGTATGCACTTTTTTTACATTTTGTTAATATGTTGTCCAGTCTAATGTTTATCATGGAAATAAACTATTTCCTCTGCATTATCTGTGTAATCAGTTGGATTTTGCATGCATCCAGTGTAGACAACACACACTAGACTAAAGAACAACTCAGTTTAAAATTTTAGCAATGCGTGTCATCATTTGTGTAAACATATAGACTCAACAGCCACTTTGTTAGTTACATCCTTTCAGCTGCTTGTTAACACAAATATAATCAGCCAGTCACATGGCAGCAACTCTGCATATTTAGGTGTGAAGACATGCTTACGATTACCTGTTGCAGCTCAAACCAAGTATGAGAATAGTGGGAAAAAGGTGATTTAAGTGACTTTGGATGTGGCATGCTAGTTAGTGCCAGACAGGCTCGTCTGAATGTTTCAGAAACTGCTGACCTACTGGGATTTTCCCACATAATCATCTCCAGTGCTTACAGAGAATGGTCTGGGGGAAAAAAGAAAATATCCAGTGAGCAGCAGTTCTCTGGGAAAATGGAGTCTTGATTTCTGCTGTAACATTTGAGTGACAGGGTGAGAATTAGGCGTAAACAAGATGAAAGCATGGATCCATCCTGCCTTGTATTAATGATTCAGGTGGCTGTTGGTGGTGTAATGGTGTAGGGGATCATTTCTTGGCACTATTTGTACTCCTTACTATCAATTGAGTATCATTTAAGCACCATAGACTACCTGAGTATTGTTCCTGACCATTTCCATCCTTTTATGACATCTTCTGATGGCTGCTTCTAACAGGATAGCACACCCTGTCGCAGAGCTTAAATCATCTCATACTGGTTTCTTGTACAAATGGCTTCCACACCTTTGGGTGTGGTGGAACAGGAGGTCTCATCTATGATCTGCAGCATCTGTGCTATCATGTCAACATGGACCAAAATCTCTGAGGAATGTTTCCAACATCTTGTTGATTCTTTGCAATGAAAAAATAAGTCTGTTTTGATGGGAGTTCAACCTGGTACTAGTAAGGTGTACCTACAGTTAAAAATAAAAAAAAATTTCTTTAGATGCAGTCTAGTTATGTTGGTACGTTACTACTAAAGAGAATGTAAGGGAAATGAAGCAAATCTGACCAGCAAATCTTCTGGTCTTGTCTTTCTCTTTTAGTCAAATGGACAGAGCAGAAAGCACCCTTATTGAATTAGTCAAATGAAGACGGTGTGACATCACAGGGCAGGTGACTGCTGGAGGAGCAAAAAGTCCAAAGACCTACGGGCATGCGAAGCATCTGTTTGAAACATCACCCTCAGTAAGTAGCTTCCTCTTTCCATCTGCTTTCTGTAAACATTTTTAGTGTTTTCATGTCAGTGGTGCTTAGATAACATTCAAAACTATGGACAGTTAATTGCTCGAGGGGAATTCAGAATAGTTTCAGAAAGTATTCATTAACAGTAAAGACTACAATAGAAAGCTAGTAGAAAAATGTATGTAACTGCCTCATGACATTTAACAACATAAGAATTTTCATTCAAGCTTTGAAAAGCTCCATTGCTGTATCACCATCTACTATCATTAGATGTTTAATATGGATATGTAATTATATAATTACATATGTATGGTAGATGTTTAATGAAAATGTTTTTCAAGTTTAAGAAACACCTTATTGGAGCGTTTAGTTTATTTAAATCCATCATGCCACCTTTAAAATTGAAGGCCATTTACCTTTTTATGACCAGCCGTACAGAAAGCTATGGAAATTTTACTGTCAGACTAGATAATGCATCTGAATATCATCCCGTTGTACTGACAGTCTGAATTTGAATTTGAGCTTGTTACTTTGTGAGTTAACACTCTAAAGGAACAGTAATGTAGTTTTAACTGGAAAAACAAAGCCTATGCAGAGACCAGGCTAATAGTTTGGGTACTCCAAGTCACAAGTCTCTTATAAACCGTGTGCCTACTATTGAAAGCATGACAGACACATGAATGGGAAATGAAGAGGGGGTGGGGGTTTAAAAGTCAGTGTCACAGATGCCTCCGCCGGCTGCCCTTGTAACACAGCCATCCCAAAATAACACTTTAACACTTTAGATACAGTAAAGCTGCAAGTCGAGCTGTTTTTAGCCGCATAACAGATAACCAGAGCTGGAGAAATAACAATGAATGATGAATTACATCCTACCTTCCCATCAGACACTCACAGTATTATTAAGAGCATTATTTATTTAATTTTAGATACGTATTTAAACATATTTTTGGATGAACCACCTTCCCATTGGCTATCACTTTAGCATCACTTTATTTAATAGAATAATATATTTTTACATTCAAACAAACAGAATTTTTTTTTTAATTGGTAAAGATTCGACACAATCTTTATCTTATGTGAAGGGAGCTAAAACAGGGGTCAAGGTTCAAAGATAACAGTTCTGTTTTTATCTTATTAGGTAGGTAGACAAGCTTAAAAGAAGTGATGAGCCACTTGGTGCTCCTCAGGCGTGAAATGGCTGAAGCAGAAGTACATTCATTCCAAATCCTGAAGAGGTTTGGTCAGTTTCCTCACTCCTTTTTCAGCCAGCAAAATCCGTATTACTATGGCGATTACTCAGTGAGAAAACTTCTCATGCGGCAGCTCATGATTTGGTGTTTGAAATGAAGTCTGTGTGTGCACAAAACTACCTCATGCAACAATACACTCTCCTTGCTTTGCACTTGGTTTGCCTGAAAGCTAAGAATACCAATTCCACATAACACTGAAGCCCGTTAAGCTGTTTTCCCCTTTGTAATAATGGACCTTACACCATCCATCATCATGTCTGTGGTTAAACTCTGTTCTCATCAGACCCTGGACAAACGATTCCAGCTGACCTTTCTCTAAACCCCGTCACCAAAACAATCACAAACATTTACAGACAGTCTGAAGGCAGGCACGCACAGCACAAACACGCCTTGTCTCAGAAGCAGTAATTGACAGCGCATGACGCCTCACAAAGGCACAAGCTTGACTAAAATGTATTTTCTTGCACTCACAAATTATACAAAACATGGATTAGATGCTACTGAATGCTTATTAATGTAGTGATTTAGGTGTTATGTGTTTATTCAGTGATATTAGATTTGTTCAGACTGCCTTGTCTGACCTTGGCACCTGGCAGCTGACCTCCTATATAACTCGTCGTGTTTCCTTTTTGGCCTCCTGACTCATTGGCAGCAGCCAGACCCACTTTAATTATAGCCGCCACAGCATTCCTCTTTGACAGAATAGGAAGAGATAGAGAGAGAGAGGCCTCAGGAGGGCAGGTGTGAACAGTGCAGAAGATTATGCAAAAATAGAGAAAGACTCAAGATAGTTGATAATGGTAGCGTCTGTTGTGTGATTTCATCTCACTGGGATGGGCAGGCAAGCCATCCGCGTGACTTCATTATGCCATGCTGAATCTTGAAGTGTCCCTAACGCTCTTTTCCTAATGCTAAGACAGAGCAACAGCCATGGGCCAGAAGCTGGAGAGGCTGTCGGAAAAAGACGAAGACTCACTTGATAACTCTGACTGTTCAGAGCAAACCGGAGATACACAGCAGACAGAGGTAGCAGAACAAGACGAGGGCAAACAGCAGGATGATGGCAGCTTTGTCACCCCGCGGGGTATTGGTGAGATTAGTGGGATCAGTGGCAGCAGCCTAGCCACTGGGAAAGCATGGGAGCACACAGTCACATCTCCATGGACAGACCCTCAAAGTGGGCAGCCAATCAGGCCTCTAGGTCAGAAGGAGCACCCTCTGAACACTAGGACAGAGTGGGTGGGTGGAGTAAGTAGAAATACAGAGAAGTCAAAAACTGTCCCGAGGGCTAAGGAGACTAGACAAACGTTTGGCAAAAAGCAAGGCTCTGAGAATAAGGCTGTGGCCTGTGCTGGGACTACAGCCATGGAGAAATCAGCCACATGCAATCCAACTACTGAGGAAGACTTTGTGGTTCTTGAGAAGGATGAGACGTGGACGTCACCGGAAAGGGAAAACGATATTGTTTTGAGGCACAGGATAAACACAGAAAAGCCTGAATCACTAAATAAAAGAGGAAGTAAGGAAGACACACCAGATATCTGCAATGACGATAACTTTGTACATCCTTCCAAGAATACCCCTCGGGAAAAGGGTAATGAAAAGAAAAGCAGAGGAAACTCTGACACGCTTTTAATGGGAGCTGACACACATGCTAGGACTTCACCCACGGTCTGTTTTAAGAGGGAAATGGGTCAACGTTTGGCTGAAGTGACAGGCAGCAGGTGTCAGCTAAAAGGAGCTGGTTGTGTTGGAGCTGGAGCCCAGAGTGAGACAACTGGTAGCGGAATAGCAGAGGGGGAGCAAAACTTGAGAGACCACACCAAGGAGAAAGTTTCTACTGACATCCAGCAGGAGCACCTGTCAACGCTAAACAAATCCAAAAGTCAGGATAAGGAAAGCCACAGTTCGGGGTTTCTTGCACAAAGACAACAAGTGGATCAGTCGTACCAGAACAGGTTTGCTGGGGCTGTGTATAAGAGGGCTAAAGCAGGGGTCACGGGCATTGTTTCAGCATGCACCAAGAAAGATGACAGCCAAGATGTTGGCAAAGCAGCCAACTCTATAACACTGCTACTGCAAGACAATCCCCCATTTACAGTGGAAGAATGTGATTTGATCCCTAGTCCTCCTCTGCCAGAGAATGGAGGCTGTGATGGAAAGATACAGGTCGCAAGCCTAAAGAAGGAGAGCGAGCTTGTTTGCTTCTCTGCTGTCATCACCCCTCCACCTTTAACTCATGTGATGCCCAATAGAGACACAACAATGATGAAGCAGCTTGACACAAATGCGGTCAGTTCAACAATGGCACCAGACGCCACGTCTAACAAAGGTGAATCAGTGACAAAAGAAAAGCCCAAAATCAAAGGTCCACCGCCACCGGTTCCCAAAAAGCCTAAAAATCCATTTATAAAGCTGAAAACTGCACAGTTAATGTCTACAGATGTGCAAAGACGAGGAAAGGAACACCTGCGTTCAGAGGAGAGGGTCAAGAGGAGGCACACTTTTCATTTTAACAGAGACCTTCCG